AGATGCCACTGAGTCAGTTCTGACTCACGTTGGCCCGATGTACACTGGAATGAAACCTCTCCCAGACCTGCAGCATTCTCACAGCTGTGCATCGGAGCCGATCGTTGAAGCCACTGTGCCAATCATCTCAGTAGGCTCGTCCTTCTTTGCTCTGAGCTTCCATTTCATCAAGCATGATGCCCTTTTCCAGAGATGAGACCCTCCCTGTACCATATCCAAATTACTTGAAAGTCCCACCATCCTTGTTTCTAAGGAGCATGCTGGCTTCTTCCAAGACTGAGTGTTTTGTTCTTCTTGCAGTCCATGGTCTTCCAGTACTCTCTGCCAACACCATCATTCGAATGCATCAGTTCATCTATACTCTCCTAAAACTTAGGGCTACAGGGGGCTTCAAAAAGTTGATAGAATAAAAGGATTGGAGAGATAGTGGGACTTCCCCATAAACTCTTTGAAGAGCCCTGGTACTTTTTGCTCAGTTCCAGCAATATGAAAAACAAAGCACAAACAAACAACAACACAACCCCACAACCAAGTAATCCCTCACATGCAAGGAGAACGGCAGTGATAGGCTTCCTTATTTCCCCAGATCTCGAATATTGTTCTTGCTGGACTAATGCATGCTCTTCTTATGTACCTGTCCTCAGATCAGGAACCCTGGTGCCCTAGTGGGTTACGTGGTGGGTGGCTAACCACCAGGCCAGCAGTTCAAACCCACCAGCCACTCCAAAGGAGCAAGATGAGGCTGTCTGCTACCATAAAGATCGACAGCCACGGAAGCCCACAGGGCACCTTTACGCTGTCTTGTAAGGTCTCTGGGATTTGGAGCCGACTCGATGGCAGTGCGTTTTGTTTTGATAGCCTGAGTTCTACCACCCTGTGCCCTTGGTCCATGTGCTTTGAAGAAGTTACCATAGGGCAAGGTGATGGAGCAGTACCTGGAAGAGAGCCATGCCCTCTCTCACCATTGTGCACCCACGTCACCCTGCCCCCTGGAAGGCACACACGCTCTTCATGCTTGTTCCTATTGCTATACCCCGCTGGTCAGGACCTGGCTAAGTGGGTCATGTTCACCAGGGGAAGCTACCTGGCTGAAAAACAATCCTGAAATACAAATGTGTTATTGTTTGCAAGGGGGATTTTTTACTCTCACACCCCACATGCTTTCCCAGACTGCTGTCTTTACAGAAGGTGAGCCCTGTTGGTGCAGGGATCGAGCACCTGGCTCCTCACCCAAAGGTGATGGTGGTGGTTGTTAGGCTGTTGAGCCCATTCTGATTCATAGACACCCCATGCACAACAGAAGGACGCATGCCCAGACCTGCGCCAGCCTCACTGTCGCTGTTACAGCCATCTACTCAGGGTCCTCCTGTTTTTCTCTGCCCCACTACTTTACCAAGTACGATATCCTTCTCCAGGGTCCGGTCTCTCCTGACAACATGTTCAAAGTGCATGAGACAGAGTCTCGCCATCATTGCCTCTAAGCAGCATTCGGACTGTCCTGCATCCCAGAGAGATTTGTGTGTTCATTTGGCAATCTGTGGTACTTTCAGGATTCTTCTCCAGCACCATTATTCAGATGCATCGGTTCTTGGGTCTTCCTTATTCAGTGTCTAACTCTCACAGGCTTATGAGG